AGTACGTTATGAATTAGCGGGAATGCAAATCAATGATTTACCCGGATTAGAAGTTGTCAATAACCCAATCTTCTTTAAAGTAACTCATTCCCTTTATGAGCTTACACCAAAAGAAATTGATGAGGTGAAGTTTTAAAGAGAATTAGGGGAAATTAGGACAATGTTCTTTCACGGTAAGACTAAATGACGTTGTCTCATGACACGTTAAAACATGAGTGACAGCTTTATTTGTAAGGCCAAAGACATGAATAAAATGAGATCAATTGTTTCTGTCAATCTCTTCAATAGGCCTACCCCAGTAACTTTGGTAACACTGATGAAACCGACAATGGTGGTGGTGGTGGTGGTGCTTGTAAGTAAGCTACCAGACGGCCAACGGCTTTAGGTCCTCTCCGAGGGACCTGGTAATGAGGATTAATGCCTTACCAAAGGGCACTAGCGCATCGCCTTGGTTTCGAACCCGGGTCACCGGATTTCGAGACCAGTCCACTGCTCTACCGACTGAGCTATCGACAAAACAAAAGCTACATTATTTTTCCTCCAAATAGAGTCATACCCTTGGTCGGTTTGGTGGTTGTTACTGGAATATTATCGTAAGAGGCTAGGCTGGGTACCATAGTAAAAGGTAACTTCGGTTATGAATATGACAATCATGCAAAGATTAGAAAATGCAATATACATCTAGATGGTGATCACGGTGATTGGTGCGGTTGCCGTATAGTACATTATATTTAAAAAAGAAGTACGAATGGGAATGGGAATTAGCTTATCATTGCTTTATGTAGAAGACATAGTTACACAGAAATTGCGAAAAGACCTCCTCATTGTGAAACAATTGGAGAATGATATTTTCCGATATCATTGTCAATCTTTAAATATCGGGAATTCGGGATGCTTCGTGGGAGAGATTTGTTTTTACTTCCAGTATTTGAGATCGGCTACTCAATCTGCCAAGGATTCATGAAAATCACGTCAGAAAATTAAAATATCCGAAAAAGAAACCTTTGCAGGTTCAAACCTGTCCGGGTTCGAAGATATTTTCTTGACGTGGTTTCCACTCAAGCGCAGATCGTGCGGCCAATCTCCAACACTTAGATTTACAGGAAAATTGTTTCTTTTGCCGAGAATCCCAAATCTTATAGAGAGCAAATGATTCTGACATGGGGATCAATTTTGTAACTGGTTTACGTCGGTCTTGTCATAACGTGACCTCGGAAAGGGATTACATAATCCACTTTGAAAAATATCAGAACAATGCATGCAGATTCGTTTTCTGGGGGGATTACAACTAATTACCGTTGTTCATCAAATTTCTAAACCCCTTCCCGTATTGATCGAATTGATTTCAATAGAGAGTGTAATAATGTCGAGATCGGGAAAAGATAGGGTGAGACTGAGAATTAGCAGTGCTGTGGATAATAATAGTTGAGGATCAATAATATGACGCGAGAAATATCTTGCCATTACTTAGCCTCATAGGTGGTGACAATACATAATGCCAATACTACAATACGGTTCTTTTTAGGATAATTATTTGAAAGAGGCTAAAATGAAGGAAATCCGAATGGAGAAATGTGTTGTTTTAATGCCCGGTATTAAATTCGAAGTGACAGGAGAACGTTGCCTTGTCCTTGCAAAAAATTGTCCATGCATTGCCTAAAAGAGAGTGAATTTGGATAGATCATATAAACTAATGAACTGCATGCTAGGTGTGATAATTTTGTACGGCGCAACTATTATAATTATACACAACTTAGAAAGACCTTTTTTTCATGTTCAGTATACATCTTCCTGTAATGCAAAACCTATACTCTTGTTGTGCTTAATACTCTTCTCTTTAAAGGTAGAAAGAAAACAGTTTTATTTTTTTAAGCTGATAGAAGAGATGTTCCGTTTGATATTATTGTAAGGCTAACCTGTTTAGTTTTGTCGTGTTTTGTTTGTTAATTTGTTCTTTTGTTTATTTTCTTACCTTTAGAAATTATAACAAAAATCTATTTATCACTCATTTTGACGCGTGTTCGAAAAAATATATAATTTAATCATGAATTGATATGGAATGCAAGCAACAACAAACACTACATAATATCCATTTCCAAACTGTAATATATATTAAAAATAAAGGATCATCATATCCTCAGCAAAGTACTATGTAGCGACAACCTTTCAAATAAGCGTAGATTTCTGACTCCTAGGTTGATTCAGTAGCAATAAATTGGTGAATCATTTAAAAATCGATCTCACGTACAAGCCGTCACTAAATAATGGATTATTCTCCAGCTGCAAAAGCCGTAAGCAATTATAAGCTATTCAACATAATCATAACCGATAATAAACGTTTAATATTGTGATTAAACCCTTTCCGGCATTTTTCTTTATTTTTAATTGCCCATTTATCTGCACTTCCATTTTAATCGCAGCAGGTGTTTTTGAGATTGCACTTTAATTTTATAATCAATCAATTTAAAAGGATCGTCTTTCATAACGAAAATCGGAAGAAATATGTATTGATTCTATTATATCATCAAAGTACTCTGCATTATGAAGAAGGGTTGGGTGCCGCTTTTACGATTATTAAGCAGGTGTTTGATGCACGATTTATACTCTCGTTTTATGTATAGATCTGATGAAGCTTGCAGCACGCAGGTGAAACATTAAAATATTACTTCAGAACGTAATTTTCCTACTTATTGTAAAGAAAGTTACATCACCAATCAGTTGATCATTTTCATTGATTTGCGGAGTATATTGTATTGGGATGAAGGAAACACATAGATGTCAATAGAATTTATGCAGATTATTCAGTGTTTTAACAGGTAACGGTTACGTAACCGTATAAACGTGTAACCCCGATCGGGTGGGGTGGCATTATATATGTTAAATACAAATAGATGGAGATACAGTGGCTTTACAGGGACTTAAAGAGGAAAAGATCGAAATCAGTTGATATAGAGAAAAAAGTCGGGAATCGTTACAGAGGTGTATTAGGAACGGAAGATGGAACAAACCAATTCTTCTTCTAATCCGATTTCGCGCCAAAATTTGGGAAAACGTGGTCTCAAAGTCTTTCATTCTCTCATCCGATTTAGAGATTTCTTAAATCTCGGGCTTATATTGCGTTTAACCCATTCGGTTTGTTTGAAACTAATCCAACGAGCAATGGTTTTGATCGTTTATCTGGAATTCATTTAAACCATTGCAATATGAAAGAAAATTAAAATATTTTGGATTTTGTTTCTCTTGAACAAGTGAATTTCGTTTTCTGCTGAATCTTCAAAATGTATTATTAAAAAAGGTCAGCACTTGCAATTTTGGAGATGAGGACATTTTAAATTAGGGGGCGATCGTCACCTCATTTGGGAAGCGATGTGGCTTTAAAAAAAAATGTAACCATGTTTAATGGCGAAATGATGCCCAAGAACCAACAGCGGACTGCAATAATTTTGTCTTCTATTTCATCACTCGCTTTGCTGGCTTGCAAGTGTAAGAAAAATGATACTCGGACAAGAGATGCCAGCTTCTGTGATACTGCACCGCCACGTGACGGCGAAGAGCAGTTAAATAATTTATCACTTTTCCTTTTATATACGTCGACAAAGGCACAAAATACATAGCTAAATAAATAATTTGCTAGCCTCTTCCAGAGTCAAGGCTCTAGGCACAAAGTCTTGCTGATATTGACCGTAATGACGTACATGGCTTCTGGAGCTATACATTAGATATCGTTCGGGGAAATCCCAATTCAGTTATGAGCCATGTCTCTTTTGAGAATGATTAATTCGTCTGGATTGGATATCTTTACTTGTTATTCCTACTTATTTGGTGGTTTCCAAGTTTGATTTTTTTTCTTCATTTTTTATATTGTGCTTTATTGTTGCTGTGAATCATGTTACGATTAATAGAATGACTGATATTACATTTCAATAATTCCACTCATTCTGTAGCAAAGTAGGATGGAGGATGGTTTAAAATGAAGACTTTTCCAAACTAAAAATAAGTCACATGGAATAGTCGCTACAGTTTTCTTTTTCAAGTTATAAGTCGTTTTTCCTCCTTCAAATTAAGAGTCACTGTACCGTACCGTAGGAGCACAGAACATGGATGATGGACAAGACAGAATGAAACACTTAACTGATTCCCAGATGAAAGGGAAGCTTAGATGGGTTTTGAAGGGAGGAAATGAGCAGGATTTATTCCCATTGAGTAAAGAACAAAGACTGGTAATGGTCGCCTTGACCTGACAGAAACGAACATTTCTGTAACGGAAACTCTCCACTCATAATATCTTCATTATTTTTACCAATTATTCATTTGCGATTTACTCTGATGAGTGCAAGACGAAAAGTTTTATAATGTCTTTATTCGTTAAAATCTTTAGATTTTGTTGTACCAATTAATCATTAGAAGAAATATGAAGAGATGATAATAATAATGGCGACTTAATATATAGCGCTCATACCCCCTCACGCAGTGTCAGTGACACTCATGGTGCTTAGATATGGTTCCCATTACCGTTATTATAGCCGAGCCGCCAATGTAACTAGCACTTAACCATATCAAGCACCCATTTACACCTGGGTGGAGAGTGGCAAATGTAGATTAACGTCTTGCCAAAGGACGTTAGTGTCGGGCTGGGAGAACAAAATAAATTTTGAAGACGACCGATTGCATAGGTAAATATTCTTCAACTGGAAGATAGCTACAGTAACTGTGAATATTGATATGTATATCCGTATTATAATCAAACGTTGCCACCTAGGTGAAAACTAGAAATAGGACATCATTTCAAAATCTCAAAGATATCATGACAGTACGTACGACGTAAAAGATCGAAAGGTTAAAATAAAACATATAGCAAAAATTACTTGATATGTTAGACTTATCTAAAGATATTTTCTTTCTTTAATATCTATGAAATGCATTAATAGGTAGCAGGGTAAGAAAGAAAACTTAAGTTCCTTTCTGTTCTAACTTTTAGATAGAATTCGAATATTTCTTACCTTGGAAAGCCAATTTTGTCTTCGGTTTTGAAAGAAACTTTTTCGTTGCTTTAGTAAACATTGCATCTGATTAAGCTGAGTGAAATCAGTCTGTATATTAAATGTGATTAGGTAGAATTAACGTGAATGCGACATGACCCTTCCATGCAGAAGCAGTGCTCTCTAGACGTTTGAAGATCTATAATAATGAATGATCTAGGTATCGAACATTTTTTAATCTTGCTGTAATATCACAGAACAATCCAGTAGTGATTTCCAAACGTTGCACGTTGACTGATTCCAGTGGACATAGAACAAATGTTCTCATTAAATCCCTTCTGTTCTAGTGGCGGCGCAACTATGCAGTGGTTTCTTAATACAGTGGATCTCCAAGTCGGGAGCTACTGATGTCCGCCACGATTCGCCGTGTTGTGTTGCATGTGTGATTTCGCATTTGCCATGCCACCACCATACCACTTTTTTCTGAGTAGAGCATTGCGCATGCGTGCAACGGCTATTTGTCAAGGGGAGTAACTGTCACTATTTGTGATGACAAAGGATGTTCCCATTCACAAGACCATTGTTTGGCGATGTTCCTCAATTGGGGACCACAATGTATAGATATTGATTGGGATTATTGGGGTAGGCATACGTCAATGGGATACGAGTATCGGATATCAAAAGAACACTGAAAGGGTCCTCTGTTTGACGGTCCCAGTCTTCCGATTTTATGTCATGATATTTGGGTGTTTTTTTTTTTTTTATATGTTTACATCCCTTCCCCCTTCCAATGTTGCACGGGGTGTAGCCTCTCTTTCTTTAACTTTCTCTATATATTTACAATCTCTCTGTCTTCAAGGGAAATCCAACCTTGATAGTAAACTCAAGGCGAAAGCAGAAAAATCAGAGAAGCATATTGGTGAAAGTTTGAATGAAATCGGACCCCCCCCCCAAAAAAAAAAAGGGTTACGAACTTTCCAAAGTTGCAATCACTATAGGTATGAGCTCTTCGCATTGACTGAAATGATAATTTTTCTGTGACTAGTGGCGGACAACTTTTGCCATTTGTTCCAACACACAAAATTACTAAAATTCCAATTTTTCAAAAATGTATGACTCAGGATGGTCTTTCCTTTTGAGAGGACATGTTATACTCTACTTTCCATAACATATTTTGAGTAGATTTCCAACGCTGAATGCACTTAGGAGAAAACAGAAATACATGATCTCATATTTCAAACATTCATAAATTACTTATTAGTGGTCCGGTTTATTTCAAACTTTCGCTAATCTGTTTTTCTATTTTTTTCTGCTTTCATTCCAATGAAATTATTTTACAAGTTGGATTGCCCTTGAATATATATATCTCATTTTATATATCTCCCCCCTCTCTCTCTCTCTCTCTCTGTACTTTTATTCCCCTTGTAACCTCTTTCTCAGCCTTTCTCTTTACACTTCTGTATATCTATATCTCCCTAGTATCTGTCTGCCAGTCACTCCGCCTATATATATTTATCTCTCTCTCTCTCTCTCTTAATCTCTCTCACACATACACATTCTTTTAATTTTATCTCGCTCTCTCTTCTTTCTCTCTCTTTCTCTTTCTTCTCTCTCTCTCTCTCTCTCTCTCTCTCTCTCTCTCTCTCTCTCAATCTCAAACTTAATCTCTCTCACACATACACATTCTTTATATTTCTCTCGCTCACTTTTCTTTCTCTCTATCTCTTTCTATCTCACCATGTGATATTTTAATAACCATGTTCACTTGCGCAGAGAACAGTATTGATTAATGATCTTGTTTTCTTAGATTCCATTCATACAACGACATTCAGTCAACACACATGGATGAACGGACGATTTCGCTTCGTGAAAGGAACATCTCCAGCATTTGCGTCTAAAACCTTGAACAAACCAAATACTTCGCAAAAATGAAAGAACGAGGAGGTTTTGAAGCTCGTTTGAAACCTCTTTACATTTTATCTTCGGAACTTCGGCACAATAACAAGTACGCACGTGTACACTTGACACGATCTGTTTGGGCTCTTTCGCTCTCAATCTTCTTACAAGTGTTCCGTCGCCTTTTGTGTCAGGAAAGTATTCCAATTCACGGGCATCGCCCCCTTACAATGGACCAGGTAATCCACAGCCCCAACAAACTATTTACCCAGTCCTTTCATACCCTTTTACATACCAGCCGCAGTGTGAACAAAAGTGAGAAGTTAATTCTGCCAACCGCGATTGTGTTGAATGAGAACAAACTGTTAATTATAGAGTCATCAAAGAGTCCTTGGTTATTCAATGTTTGTCTGAGATACCATTTATGGGGAGGTTTTATCAAGATGTTAACATGCATGCGAACATTCGTAACCATTCTCCATTGTTTCCATTCGAGAAAATGAATTTGGCTGATGACAGTATGCAATATGAGTATACCTGATGAGTGGACCAATAAGAATGCATTTGAATATGGACTTAAATGTATATAACGGCGATTTACAAGAATCTAATTCAAACACCCCTTCTTTTTCGTTGGATCTCTCTTTCTCCCTTTTTTTTCTCACATCCTCTCTGCACATGCACGTATGTCTCTTTCTATCCTTTTCTCATCCCACCATTCCCTCATCTAGTCATATCTATTTCTCAAATTGCATTTTTATCTCTGCTTCTATCTCTTATCTTACATCATCGGTCTTTTTCTCTTTCCCTCTCTCTCTTTTGCCTTTTTTGCTCTCTCTCTCTCTCTCTCTCTCTTTCCTACTTTTTTCTCGCTCACTCTCCCCCTTCCCCCATGGCTTTCCCTTTCTATCTGCGTTTTACCTGATTTCTACCTGTTTATCTCCAGAACAGTAGAATGCTACAAAGACACATTTATTATCCACTGTTTAGATGGAAGGTCATGCATGTTTCCATCATGAGCAATGCGGACGAAAAGCTTCGCAATATAATAAATTGAAGATACATTTCGTTGTAAGCAAACACGAAACAAAATATGGACATAATTTATACGATGGTAGACTGCACATGTCCACATATATTGACATCATGATTCTTTAAACTCTGCTTTTTTCACACGAAGTCACAATTTAAGCCAAATATCTTGACAGGAAAGGCGTAAGCAATGACTAGCATACAATAATCAATCAACATGTTTTATTTCTGGTATACGCTTGACAGGGCTATTGTCGAACTTAGCGTGGAGTTGACAATATCTGAAAAATATTTCGTTTTGTAGGTGCGCCAGATCAATCATAGATGATGATTATTGTGAAACGAATTCCCCCAAACAAATAACCAAGAACTATACGACTGGTTTATTACAAAAAAGTTGATCGAACTTTTGCACAATACCTGAAATACAGTAGTTTGACCTTGAACATCATGATCTAATGACTATAGTACTAGAAAGCAAAAAAAACATGTCCTTCTTTTCCACTCCCCCAAATCATCTCTCTCTCTCTCTCCCTTTCTCTCTCTTTCTCTCTCTCTCCCTCTCTTCCCTCTTTATCTCTCTCTTTCTCTATCTCTCTTTCTATAAGCCGGGGATAGGACTTTCACGGTAGCAGCATCCAAAGGGTGGAATAATCTCCCCATGTCCATCAGACAATCTGCCTCTATCGATATTTTTAAGAAGGCTCTGAAAACTCATCTCTTTACATGAATTCTCCTCTATGTTTAATTATTTAATTTAATCAATTGAATTTAATATTTTATATGGAATATCTAATTGTAGCCTTTAATTACTACATGTAGTAAAGACCAATAATATTATTTGATGTTAGCGCTCTGACCCTTATGGGAATGGCGCCCTAAATGTTCATTGTATTGTATTGTATTGTATTATCTTTCTATCTCTCTATGGGCCTCGATCTCTCCGTCTCCTTTTCTTGATATACTTTGAATTAAATCTTCCTCTTTATATCCCTCTCTCTATACTTTTTTGTTTATTCATATCTCTCTCTCTCTCCCTTTCTCGCTCTCTCTCTCTCTCACACACACACACTTTTTTTTTTTTTTTTTTTTTTTTTTTTAAACAATTTTGTTTTATTTCTCCAGATGTGTAATACAAACCATGACATACAATTGAATAAAATAAACGTGTTCAATATTGATGCTTTTACATAAACATAATTAAACACAAACTTATTTGCAGTATAATATAACTTAGCAACAAAGTAAACGTATAAGTACCTAAACATAATATGTCAATTGTAAATGTTATTTACTTATATATTAAAAAAAAAAAAAATCTGGAGATAATTTTACTGAAACAATCCTGCCCCCTCCCTGCCCCCTACATCACACAGACATACTCACCCTCTATCACACAAACATACTCACCCACTCACACACATACTCACCCACCCACCCACCCACCCCCCCCCCCCCCACACACACACACACACAGTACTCACTCAGTGGATGTCTGCCAACATTCTCAACTTAAGAAAAATATACTAAATAAGTTATCCAGGCTGCAAAATCGAGTTACGCTTTTAACAAGCTCACGGTGGAGAAGAAAGCAAATCTTAATTAATCTTAAGCTGCTCCCACTTTAAAAAATGTGATCCTAGCTTTCCCATTTTAATTGCTATTTTCTTTTCCTCATCCCTATACTTAAAAATGCTTTTTTTCATCTTTTCTAAAGTTAGTACTCGCCCCCCCCCCCGATCTTGACATAAATGTAACATACTTCACCATGAAAATGATAGTATTACACATTTTTATTCTATATGAACTACCTACCAACCCAACAAATATATCTCGCCATTCTAAATCTTTAATTCCATCTAACTCAAAAAGTTGTATTAAAGCCTGCCATAACCTTTGAACGCTCCCACAAGATAAAAATAAATGTTTGTATGTTTCTATTTCCTGCTTTCCTGGAAATAGAAACATACAAACATTTATTTTTATCTTGTGGGAGCGTTCAAAGGTTATGGCAGGCTTTAATACAACTTTTTGAGTTAGATGGAATTAAAGATTTAGAATGGCGAGATATATTTGTTGGGTTGGTAGGTAGTTCATATAGAATAAAAATGTGTAATACTATCATTCATTCAAACGAACATAAATTATCACCACACGCACACACACACACACACACACACACACACACTCACGCACGCACACACGAACCTACCCCCCCCCACACACACACACATTCCCACACTCACGCACGCACACGCGAACCTACCCCCCTCCCCCACACACACACATTCCCACACTCACGCACGCACACACGAACCTACCCACACACTCACAGGCAACCTTCCTATTACACTTTCTTTCTCATCATCTCATGATTACTCTCCAATCCCCCAAATTCTGAAAAACGTCCATCATGTCCCTTGTATGCGTCACTATGTGTGGACGTATGTGCGCGGTGGGTGTTTCGAGGGTGAGCGTTAGTGCGCGCGTATACATGAAGAGTTAACTTTGTCCTAAATATAGCGCCCTCCGGTGTTTTCT